ACCGCCATCAACCTATAGGCCCTCTGCAACATGTCCATCTTCTCTCCCAGCCACTGCAATCCCTGCTCCTTAGAAACTTTGTTATGAGCAGTAGCCCAATCGATAGTAGCTCTAAGCGCATTCCGGGCTACGACCACAGGCACGCTCTTGGAATCCCTGAAGATTCTTCTATTTCTTTCCAGCCAAATCTGCCACCAAATAGAATGTAAACCACAATACACGAACCAATCCATGACATCATCTGGCTCATCACTCTTCCACCTATCAATGGATGACAAAACATCCATGCTAGGGGGGACAAAGCTACCACACACTCGCTGCAACAAACTCCACACTTCCTTGCTATAGGCGCAACTAACAAGAAGATGATCAACTGTCTCCTCCTCTTTGCAGCAAAGCTCGCACCGGTTTGCCAACGCCCATCCTCTCCTCTTGAGATTATCAGCCGTCAGGATCCTCTTATGGGCAGCAAGCCACACAAATGCACAAACTTTTGAAGGGACGACACGCCTCCAAACCGACATGGCAGGGAAGTTCTGAACCCCTTGAAAGCGGCTGTCCGAAAGAGTCCTGTACATGGAGTGCACTGAAAAAGAACATTCTGAATGGGGAGCCCAGACCAATTTACAAGGTCCATTGCTCACCCTGTTAGTACCATGAGCATTCAAAAAATTAATAAGACTTTACCTCTCAATGTTAAAATTACCTTACCTATATCCCAACTCTATAAATAGCATAATAATTAGAACCCTTAGTCATCTTTATGAACCAATTTAGAATTATTGAAGATCAATGAAAATTATAAACACTAAATCTTACCAAATAGGAAGAAATAATAAAAATACGCTAAATTAAAAATTAATTTTATAAAAACTAAATAACTAAAGAAAACGGAAGCAGTTATAATTTATAAACACTACTCTTACCTCCTATTGCAAAGAGAATAGCTAACTCCTTCTGGCGTGGGTTTTTCTTTTTTTGCTTGGTTGGAAATATAAAATGACAATAAAAAATATATAACTACTATTATGTCCCTAATTAAAATTAAGGCGAAGCCAGCAAATTCGAAACCGAGAAAAATTGATAAAACTCTATTATATCATATTGGCGGATAAGTAAAAACCTAAATTCATGGGTCAAAACTCGCACCAAATGATTATGAGTATAACGTATAAATCAATCAAAAATCTACTCATTTATTTTATACTTACACTTGTACCCAACACAATCAAATTGGATAACAAAATAACTATGGGTTTGATCAAAACTGTCATCCCACTCAACCCTCAGTCTATTTCTCTCCTAATTTCGTCTCCGACCGTCTTGATTCCATCTCGGGATGGGATTAGGTGCTAACCCCTGATAACTAGCAAAAATCACTACGGATTATTATAAAATCAATACAACATCTAAGCTAAATCACTACTAATTCAAACTAGTAGTAGTTTTCCCCTTAATTAGGACGGTGCTAACTATTGTACAATTAGCACCGTAGTTGTTCCCTTCCATCTCGGTTCTCCTCCTGATCCTTTTTGTCGGTATCAAATATCAATCCTTCTATCACAGGAGAGAGGAATTTTTATAGATTGATAGTATGGTTTTATTTATTTTGAATATTCTATGTGCTAGCTATTGGCCAGCCCAACGACATTGGCATTCATGTATAGCTGGGACTGAAAGCGACAGGACCTCCATGCAAGGAAAAAGATCGATCTTCAACTGATCCAAGGTAACATATTTCCCCCTCTCCATTGCTCAAAATAAAGCAAGGAAACAAAGTTTGGGAAGTTGTGGAGGCAATGTATAATATGTACATTTCCATAGATCAGTATAGTATAGTGAAACAATAGCCATCTTCATATCATCAATTCACCCTTTTGCTTTCTGCAGTGAAAGGTCTCCATAGAGCTGCTCTGCTACTATATATGTCTGCCCAGAAAAACAAAGTTTTTTTCTTCAGTACACGAGTTTTCTCCTCGTCGACAAACAAAGTGTAGAATTTGATAATAATAACAACACCATGCATGAAATTAATTAAGAAGATATGATATGATGTATACAAGTAATTAGATTGTTGTGTTAATTTGACTTTTAAGAGGAGGTGCTCTCAAATAAATAAATAAAAGTTATCCAATTGGAGAGATTAAAGGGTATTTTAGGAAGTTAACATCTGAATTCGTTTTAGTCGAGGTAAAATCAATCTTCCGAACAATTGGTGATGACAATTGTACCTATGGTTTCTCCATTTTAGTCCCTCTATTAAAATTTCCTTCCAATTATGCACACTTGAAATATATAACAAGTCACAAACACTAAAATTTCCATTCTTTTTCCCCAATTCTGCAACATTAAGCCCGAAACGATACTTAACAAAATTTGAAACATTATCAAATATCTTTGGCTATATGTGGACCTGGATGTGTATGGTTAATTTGAATGGTGGGATGATAAAGATGGGGAATGTTGACAGTAACCATAACAACGAAGATCATATTTAAGTGTAGCCCAAAGTGATAAAAGGACAGAACAGAAGAGGCCACAGAGCCAGAACAGACAGACAGAACAGACAGACAAGGCAATGCATACACATACATATTTAATCACTGCATGATTCAGCAATTCATTTATGGGATGTGTAAGCAACAGGAAAGGGATCGAAATTAAAGAGGGTTTGGTTCTCTCCAGTCTCAAGTCACAAACACACAGACAAATAAGAAGAAAGAGAGAGAGAGACAGACAGACCCCTACCCACAAAAATTGACTTCAGGCCTAAAAGTTTTGTTTTTTACTTGGTTTTCATCTCAGGGGCAAAAGTCTACTTGTGCACGTAGCTAGCTCCGGGAGAAACATCAAATCGTTGATGACACCTACATGGATGAAATAAATTTCAACGACTAATAACCAGAGATGAATAATTGGAAACTGTGCAAAGGGTAGCAAATTATGATCACTCAGAGAGTAAGAAAATATTATAAGGTGCTAATTGATCTGTATCCCTTATGATCAAGAATAATTATGTGTACTAGGGATGGGCATTAGATCGGTGACCCATTGAACGCGTCCAAATTCGCCCAGTAAAACCTGACCGCCATAATATGGGTGGGAATAGTGTGCGGATAATGGGATGTGTGTTGCTTTCAATCTAACCCATCAAAATATGGGTGGGTGTGGGTTGAACCCGTCAAACCCACCACCCATTCATAATCGACACTAAATCTCTAAAATCTCCTCCTCCAAACTGATTCTTTCCACAATCCCCTTTGTACTTCTTTCCAAAACTTGTTCATTTTATTCTAATTGCCAATCACCAATGATTTCTCCTAAAATTCAAGCGATGCATATCCTAAATAATCTTTGTTTCCAATTTCAATTCTAATTTTCTCGCATTAATTACTAGTTTTTAATTAAGCTTATTCTATGGTTTGCTAAGAGTTTTTTCCCAAACTTTCTAACTTTCTCATTACTAGTGAGTTCAGTCCAAATGTCAAATTGGTCACTTTTTTTAGTCATAAAATTGACGTGACCAAAGATCGGATCACATTATCTTTGATTCGGTATGAGCTGATCCAAGTGACAATTTGATCTGGTGCGGTCCGATACAGACCAACCTGTTGCACACCTCTCTTTACAACCGGAGAGCAAACTAATGGATGTGACAAGATGACAAACTCTTCGTATTCTCGCCCAACAATATCATTAGTTCTATACTATCAATCTATCATACACAATAGAGTTAGGAATCGGTGTGGCCTGGTCTAGACCATACAATATATTATATATATGGTCTACAGGCTGGAACACAAAACATAGACTAGAACAAATACTATACGGTCCAAATCAGACCAAACATGTGTGCTTTGGTCCGGTATGGTTGACACAGGAAAAAAAATTCCTCGAAACCTAAATTCTAACATATATGAATAATTTGATACCTAATCCTAGCAATAACAAAGATACAAAGGTAGAGTAACCCAACTTGACCATAACATCATAAATATTAACAAAATCACATACGAAAAAGCAATTGTCTTTGCTCTCTAGTGAGGTGTGACTTGTTGAGGAAGAAGGGAACGTGATTCATAAAAGAGGGTTGAGATTTGGGCCTTGTTGGGAGCGGGGAGAGTGCCTGAGTGGGTAACATGGGTTGGGAAATGGACTTGGTTAAAGGTCTAGTATGATAAAATGCAGTCTCTGGCTCAAATCAGACCAAACAAAAAAATCAAATAAAAACATCTCATATTGCTTATCACGGAACAAACCATATCATTCTTAACGCTATAATTTTTTTGTCCACGATTTTTCAAACCTTCCTATTTATTTTCCAACCCAACACACTACTAGCTCAAATACCAACATAACCCATGGGCCAGGAACGTTCCCATCTCACATAATTCCAAAACTATATCAATATTGTTCGTAGGGGTGGCGGTCGGTTTCGGTTTAACCGAAAATCGAAAACCCGGTTATCGGTTAAATCGAGCAACCCCTATAGCTGCCGACCGTGAGATTGGTCACGGCTAGCCGGCCAACCGACCGGTCGGTTTCGGTTTTAGGCTCGGTTAGCCGGCCAACCGGAAAACTAGCTTTTCTACAACAACAAAAAAAAATTAAATAAACAAAAATTGTGCACCACTCACTCTAACCCCTCTCACTTCTCGATTCTTCTTCTTCCTTTCCAGAGCAGCGACCGCCGGTTGCTACCGCTCCCACCTTCTCCTTCTTCTCCGTCCCAATCGACCGAAACTCCGTCCTCCAAATCCACATCGCCATCCGGCTGCTGCTGGAGACCTGGAGTGCGGCGAGCTGCTGGAGACCTAGAGTGGTGGGACTTGGGAGGGCGACGAGTTGCCTGGCTGGAGCTGCGGCGGGGCGTCGAGGTGGAGTCGGCGGGGCGGCGAGGTGGAGACAGCGAAGTGGAGGCGCCGGCGATGGTGTAGGGGGAAGGGCTGGTCTCTGTGTGAGGCGAGAAGGGGGAAGGCGAGAAGGGGGAATGTCGACTGATGGTGGAGGCGGAGGAGGAGGGCCGATTGCGAGGTGGAGGCGGCGAGGTGGAGTCGGCGACGATGGTGGAGGCCGGAGGCGGAAGGGCTAGTCTCTCAGAGAAGGGGGAAGGGTTCGGCGACGATTGTCGACTGATTTGGGAATTGGGGGAGGAGGTTGTGACTGCGAGGGCCGAGGGTGGAGAACTGGAGATGCTTAGGGTTAGTGGGGCTGGGGGCGGCGTCGTTTAAGGGGAAAGAGTAGGGGGTCGGTTAGCCGGTTAACCGCCGGTTTCCGACCCCGGTTAGTCGGCTAACCGGACCCCTGCTTCAACCCACCGCCAACCGACCGCCCTCTTTAGAATCGGTTTTAAGTTAGCCGAAAATCGGTCGGTTCGGTTGAAACCGTTCGGTTAACTGCTAAGCGAAAATCGTTCTGCCAACCCTATTGTTCAGTTCAGTTCTCTATCACCATAATACACTACAGTTTCACGTGTGTCGAAAATATGGTTGTGCGGTAAATAAAAATTCTGTCTTCCTCCTAATCGATCGGACTCAAAACTAGTTAACACAATATCAGTTTCCGGATTCCAACAAAAAAATGATAATATGGTCTATGAAGTGACAGGAACATTGATGAATGAATGATGACGGCCTGCCAAGTCCGACCGGCCTGTTGAAGTGACAAGAAATTGGATGACTTTCTGAAGCCCCCCTGTCTCTAACTATCTATGTATTGCATTCTATGGGGAGATGTGAAGTACGTCGAAATTAGGTCAAAGGCATGCAGCTACTACTCCAGGCTGAGTTCCTGATTAAGCTAAGGATCTTCTCACAGTTTTAGGTGCTCTCTTCCAAGCTCTGATCCGCATCTGGCACAGTACGTAGATAGATATTGGATACACAGGGCTATCACTAGCATGATCATGGTGAGGTAATTGGTCATCACCAAAATGTGACAGTTTCCTGTCATTTAGCTAGCTAGCTAGTGTGACTGTATAGGAATTGTAGCTAGTAGTCTTGTTGATACCACACTCATCTAACAATCACTGCATGCATTTTTTTTTTCGTTGAATATATGTATAGTACAGATGGGGAAGAGAGAGGGAAGGAGAGCAGCATTCTCAAATTCCCTAAATAAAACATTTAAATTTTTTCTGTCTCGAACGAATGCACCGATCTTTCTATCAAGAGTTAAATTGTTTGTCTATAGTTCATTTGTCACCTCGAGCAAATGCATCTAAATAATTTTATATCGAGAGTCAATTTGTTTGATTGTACTTAGTTCACTTTTACTCATTATTAACAATCATTTTTTTACGTAGCCTTTTACTTAATCCCAGTTCAATAACGTCCTCAACATTTAATGACTACATCCGTATGTTTTTCAATTACTGAAATCAGATGTTAGTATATAGGATTACTAAAAAAAAAAATCGAAGGCACCATATGATTAAGACATCATAATCAAGTGGTTGATAGAGAGAAAAGACATGTTTAATACATGGTGGAGATATTACACCAATCTATACAGAAGACAAACAATACTACTTATGCTTGCTATCTTACTCAATTGAAGAAATAATAAATGGTTGTCATTTGTTTATCATATAAGTTGTTACTTCACTCTGTCAACAGAAGGGAAAAACCAAACAGTTCTTAATTTGCAGCTTGCTGGTGACTGCTCCAACTCCTAGCTACATGGTGGTTTTGGTTTTGGGATTATGCCAAAATCGAGAAAAGAAGAAGAAGAAGAGGAAAAAGGAAGTGTCATTGAATGATGATGACATGATGATTAATTAAGAGGCAACAGGCAGCAGCAGCAGCAGCTGCCAACCATACCCTCATTCACCCTTCACCACAAACCAACAAACAACTAACTTCACTCACTCAGTTTGCAAAAAATTCACCTCTCATTCATTTCATTCACTCACTTTTTCCAGATCCCATCTTCTTGTTTCTTTCTTTCTTTCTCTCTTGTGCATGGCAGAGAAGAGTGCTTCCACTGATCACATGAATGCTCCTCCCCAGGGAAACATCAACCCACCATACGCTGCCATTTTTCTGTACCCTCTTTTGCCTTTTTACCCTCTCTACCCCTCCCAATCAAATTGTTTTGTTTGTTGGTTTCCTTTCCCTTCACTTTCACTCTCTCCCTTTTGTCCCTCTCCTTATAATACTGTTCCTTTCTCCTCCCTCCTTCCCGTATTTATGCATGGTCCCTCTCTTTGTCCCCACCTTTTCCTCATCCTCTTCAGTACTTATTCATTCACAAACCGAGCTGAAGTCGAGCAAGCAAAACACACAACCCACATTCCCCCTTTCATCATACGACGATTATGTCGACGAATAACAGCAACAACAACAATAATGCATCGAGCAGCAGGTGGTGCCCGACGCCGGAGCAGCTGATGATACTGGAGGAGCTGTACAGGAGCGGGGTGAGGACTCCCAACGCGCCCCAGATCCAGAGGATCACCGCCCACCTCTCCCTGTACGGCAAGATCGAGGGCAAGAACGTCTTCTACTGGTTCCAGAACCACAAGGCAAGGGACCGACAGAAGCTGCGGAGGAAGCTCATCAAGCAGCTTCAGATGCAACAGCAGCACAACCAACTATGTCATCATCATCATCATCAGCTTATTAGTATGCCACAATTGCCGGAAAATCACCAACCTTTTGATAACGCCCGCCGTCATCTCCTGCTTAACTACTTTGAATGCCCTAATAACCCATCGAGTACAATTAGTACTGCCACTCATCCACATTTTCATCAACTCCCAAATCCTCCTTTGCCTCCTCATTATCCACAGGTGAGCATTGCATTGCATACAGACAGTGTGTATATATAAGGGTTTCTCTTGCATACACTTTTTTTTTTGGGTGTGTATACAAGACCTTTAAAAGTCTCGATATTCTACGTATACGTGTTTTTGAGATCTAAAAGCGTAAAAATGTAAACTTTTAACTGTATAACATGATTTTTACTATTTTAGTAAGGAGAAAATGCGATTTTACGTATAATTGAATTGGTGTTTAAAAGCGTAAAAAGAATAAGAAACTTTTAAATTTTAAATCACAATTTTGACTTAATTTCAATATTCCTTCTACTGATCAGAAGATTCCGCACAATGTTTCTTACGAAATCATGAACAGGTGGTGGGAGGATCAGGAGGAGCCGTGGAAGGTGGAGCATCATCAAGGGAAATGGCGTTCACGATGGCGAAGAAGAACCAGACGTGGAATAATGACGAGGATGATCACCATCAACGTCGTGATTACATGGAGCATATGTTCCCGGCGGCAGAAGTAGGGTTTGGAGGATGCCAGATGACGGCGGCGGTAGAGGACAACTCCACCGTGATGGCCACAATGTACGGCACCGATGATCGTCGCTGGATTACGCCGGAAGTGGATGGAGGCAATGTTGACGATTATGATATGGATCGGAGTAACAACCACAATAATAATAATAATAATAATAATAATAATAATAATAATAATAATAATAATAATAATAATAATAATAATAATAATAATAATAATACCATCAAGACCCTCCAACTCTTCCCGGTCACTTCCACTAAACTTATAGAAGACTGCAGCCGCAATTAGCCAGCAAGCTACCCAATAATTTAGATGATATGCGCTGTCTCTCTCTATTATATATGATAAACCCTAGATGTTATTGTCAGTTTAGGGATCTTTATGTGATATAGCTAGGCATGCATTCGTTTGGGAGGGGGAGTTAATTATCTGGTTCAAATTCTATGGCAATCACTATGAAAATTGTCATTTATGATGAGTGTCAGATCAAATTGTATGCATTTAGTTTAGTCATCTGTAACTGTTTGCTAATCTATGATCAATTGGTGCAGCAGTTCGCGAGGTCATTACGTTTTCTTAATAGTAATTTACATAATTGGTATCGTTTCATTTTACCTACCGGGTTAGGGTGTTTTCAGCTTCATTTGTAAGCAAAACAGTGAAATGTGTAATTCTACCTAAAAGCGGAAAAGAAGTAAAATCGTAAAGCGTAGAATTTTAAAGTGTAAAATAACTAAAAATCTGTTAATTACAACATATACTAAATATGAGTGCACATAATTTTGATAAGTTAATAAATAGCTGTGATTCATGTATAAGAAAGAGCAACTTATAGCTTGTTAATAATAAGTTCATAAACATAAATCTCAACAATAAACTACATTCCCCTCTATGCTAATGAATTTGAGAAGAGTCTGGATGGTGAATTAGATTACTCTATTGAAGCTGAGAATGCATCCAAGTACCTAGTATGTATCTTTTAATCTCAAATGTATTATATTGTTAGTGATTTACCTTTAAAAAATAATTTTTATAATTAATTTCATGAAAATAATATCCATTTAGTGAACTAAAAGCGTAAAGCGTTTTGGTGAACTAGAAGCGTTAAATCGTAGGTTTTTAAGTTTTAAAGCGCAATTTAGTCTGATTTTATACACTTAAGTTTTTATAAGGAAACGAAAACGTTTTGGTGATCTAAAAACGTAAAACCGTAAGTTTTTAAGTTTTAAAACGTGATTTTGACTACATTGTTTGTAAGAACGTGATGTTTACACAACGCTCACAACCATCCGATGTACAACGACGAACAGTATAAAGATGTCCTTCATTTTCTTGTTGTAAGCAAGTAGATTCCTACATTTACAATGCGGTCGTTTCATACATGTTACATTTCTCCCTATTGCTACCTTATTGTCAGCTATGCCTGCGAGTACTAGAGACAGTAGGAGTTATGTATGTGCAAAAAGTCATCAGCGAGCAAAGCAGAGAGAGTGTACTTGGACCCCTCAGACAAGTCAATGCAACCCTATTAATTTCTTTGAAATCATAAAATAATAATCCATATATTATTTAAAAATAATAATAAATTGGGTTGGGCCTGAAATGTTTTCTTGTCTTGCATGTGGGATTTCAGGCTACGGCTTTGAAATGAGAATGGAAATTGCGTACCAGCAAGCTATTGCCCCAGATGAGTCTTTGATTTGATTTGTACATTTGGATCCCTTTGATTGATGCCCTCTTTTTCTCAACACGAACAGGACGTCGATGACGAGTAGGTGTTCCCGATTATGAGTCGTTCTTTTGATTTACGGGTCCATTTGGTGGCTAGAAAAACCCTCTCTCTGTTCTCGACTATGAATCGTTCTTTTGACTTCCGGGTCTGGCTGGTGTCCAGCGTGTAACTACTTTTTCTTGATCAATATATGTGTTATAAACGCGCTGCTACGGATCGGGAAATAGCCGGAATCGACAAAGCAAGAATACGAAAGCGAGAATCGAAAACACAGACACACGATTTACGTGGTTCACTAACACGATGTGTGTTAGCTACGTCCACGGGCGAGAGAGAGCCAATTTCACTATATCGAGGAGATTACAGATTACAGAGGAGTATGAGAAGTATTTATAGTACTTCTCCATGTGGGTCTAAACCTAATCCAATCTGGCAAAGGAAACGGTTACAGACCAGGCCCAGAACCCGAACCCAAATAACAGCGAGACCCCCGATTACCAGTCGTAGCGGCTGATAGTCCGATTCAAGTCATATCAACAAATCTCCACCTTGACTTGAATCCTCTTCCTCTGAAATTCTAATGTACTCTGCTCCTTCTCTCTCTCTCTCCCGCCATCAATGCCCCGCAGGGCGGATTCACCCACTCAAGACATTCAGCAAGTCCAAGCAGTGTTGGAACTTGCCATGTGGAACCGGCTTCGTGAACATATCAGCAGGATTATCCGCGGTGCCAACCTTCTTCACCTTAATCCTCTTCTCTGTCCTCAAGAAATGATACCTCACATCGATGTGCTTAGTCCTCTCATGGTGGACTTGATCCTTGGCCAAGCATATTGCACTCAAACTATCGCAATACACCACTGCCTGATCATGATGTAGACCAAGATCACCAACCAGTCCCTTCAACCATATTCCCTCCTTAGCAGCTTCTGTCAACGCCATATACTCTGCCTCAGTAGTAGACAATGTCACCGCAGACTGCAAAGTTGCCTTCCAGCTCACTACAGAACTCCCAAGAGTGAATACATAACCGGTCATCGATCTCCTCGTGTCAACATCTCCAGCATAGTCCGAGTCAGAATACCCAGACACCAAGCACTCTGTATCACTTCCGAAGCTAATCCACACATCAGGTGTACCCTTAAGGTACCGGAAGATCCTCTTCACAGCCTGCCAATGCTCATTCCCAGGTTGTATCATAAACCTGCTGACAACACTAACAGCATGTGCAAGATCAGGTCTAGTGCATACCATAGCGTACATCAAGCTACCTACTGCACTAGCATATGGGACTCTCGACATGTACTCCTTCTCAGCCTCTGACTGTGGTGCATAAGCTGAGGATAGATGAACATTTGAAGCACAGGGAGTATTTTAGGGCTTTGCTGAAGACATGCCAAACCTCGACAGTATCTTCTGGATGTAGCTCTTCTGTGACAAGAAAAGCTTCTTCTTCGACCTGTCCCTGTAAATCTCCATACCCAAGATCTTCTGAGCAGCTCCCAAATCCTTCATCTCAAACTCAGCACTGAGAAGCCCCTTTAACTTCTGGATATCAGACTTCGACCTCGCAGCTATGAGCATATCATCCACATACAGAACAAGATAGATCATCGAACCATCCTCCACCTTGTTGTGATACACACAACAATCATATGGACTTCTGCTATAGCCCAGCTCAAGCATGTAACTGTCAAATCTCTTGTACAACTGCCTCGGAGACTACTTAAGTCCATACAAGGACTTCTTCAGCTTACAAACATAGTCTTCTTTTCCCGGAACCTCGAATCCTTCTGGCTGAGTCATGTAAATTTCTTCCTCCAACTCTCCATGTAGGAAAGCTGTCTTCACGTCTAGCTGCTCGAGCTCCAAGTCATAATGTGCCACTATTGCTAGTAGCACTCTGATCGAAGTATGTCTGACCACTGGTGAGAAAATCTCATTGTAGTCAACTCCTTCCCTCTACGAGAAGCCTCGTGCAACCACCCGAGCTTTAAATTTCATGCCCTCTTTAGAAGTGATTCCTTCCTTCTTCTTGTAGATCCACTTGTTTGTAACAATCTTCCTTCCCTGTGGTCGTTTGACTAGCTCCCAAGTCTGATTCCTGTCATGGGATTCCATCTCATCTCCCATTGCGGCAAGCCACTGGTCAGCTTCACCACCCGAAACTGCTTCTCTATAAGACTGTGGCTCTCCTGCATCCACTTCTTCAGCAACCTGAAATGAATACGCCACCATGTCCTCGAAGCCATACCTCTGTGGAGGTACTCCTGCAGTCGCTCTCTTCGGTCTATCGGAAGCAATAGACTGTTGAGCTCGTGCACTGGACTCTGAAGTTTCTGGCTCTGCAGAGACATCCTCATCATGTTGATCTTCATTCCTGCTACCTTCAACAACAGTAACCTTCAACATGGGGTTAAACATAGACTTCTCATCAAATATCACATTTCTACTGAGTATAACTCGATGCTCAGAAGGTGACCAGACTCGAAATCCCTTAACTCCATCTCCGTAACCCACAAATACACCCTTCTTTGCCCTTGGGTTCAGTTTACCCTCATCCACATGATAATAAACAGGACACCCAAAAACTTTCAGTGAAGAGTAATCAGCAGGCTTACCATACCACACCTCATAAGGAGTCTTCAACTCAATACCTGTGTGAGGTCCACGGTTGATCAGGAAGCACGCCATGTTCACTGCTTCTGCCCAGAACCTTCTCTCTAGTCCAGCATTAGAGAGCATGCACCGTGCTCTCTCCAACAATGTCTGGTTCATCCTTTCTGCAACGCCATTCTGCTGGGGTGTATCTCTCATAGTCCGATGACGGGCAATCCCTTCATCCTTGCAGAATTCGTTGAACTCAGAATTACAGAACTCCAGACCATTGTCCGTTCGCAGCTTCTTGATCTTCTTACCGGTCTGATTTTCCACCAATGTCTTCCACTGCTTGAACTTCGTGAAAGCATCACTTTTCTGCTTCATCATGAAAATCCAAGTAAATCTCGAATAATCATCAATAATAGACAGAAAATACCTGCTGCCTCTAATGGATTCAACTCGTGAAGGACCCCAACAGTCGGAGTGGAGGTAATACAGTATCCCCTTCGTCCGGTGGATACCCTTCTTGGGAAACTTGCTGCGATGTAGCTTCCCAAACACACAATGCTCGCAGAATTCCAAATTCTGCATCTTGTGCCCGCAAAGAAGATCCCTCTTCGATAGAACTTGCATCCCCCGTTCACTCATATGCCCCAGTCTCATGTGCCAGAGAGTGGTCATATCTTCCTGATGAACCTGAGATGATGCAACTGCAGCAGAACCAGACAACACAGACCCTTGTAATGCATACAAGGTCCCACGCTTCACTCCCTTCAGCACCTTACTTGAACCTTTGCAGACATACACAACTCCACCTTTTCCTTTGAAGCTGAAACCCTTGCTGTCGAGTAGACTCAAGGAGATCAGGTTCTTTGTCATTCGTGGAACATGCCTGACATCATTCACGGTACAGAACGAACCATCATGTGTCCGAACCTTTATGGACCCGATTCCAACAACCTTGCAGACAGCTCCATTTTCCATGACCA